CGCGTGTTAAGGTTAGGGTGCAAGAGAACGCAATAACGGTTTACAGTAGCACGCTACGGTAAGGGTGCTAGGCTTGGGTTCGGATATGAAGGTTCGGGTGGCATGAGGTTGGGATAGGGTGCCATGTTTGGGGTGTGAGGATTGAGGCGCTAGCCTTATAGGGTGATACGATTGGGGCCACGGTGCTAGAGTCAGGCTGGTACGGTCTGGTTTAAGGCGTTCATGTTTGGTTCAGGTATGGTGTTGTGTTTCGGATGCTATGGGCAGGCTGTGAGTCAGGGGTGTCGGGGCTCATGTTAGCAATATTTTGCGCAGGCTTCTAGCCTGAGTGTTAGGATGAAAGAGTTAGGGTGTCAATGTTGGGCTGTGTGCTTAGGGTCACCGGTCTTAGGGTGTGGGTTAGGGTGTCAGGGTGACGGCGTTCAGGTGTGAGGCCTGGGGGTTGCACGAGTAGGGTTACTGTGTTGGCGTCGGGCTACTAGTCAGAGGATTCGAACGCTAGAATCAAAGTGTTCGGGGGTAGGGTGTTCATACTGTGGTTTTTGGGTTAGTGTTAGGGTGCTAGTGTTCGGACGAATTCTTAGGGACAAGGCGCCAAGACTTGAAATAGAGTTGAAGGTGCCCGGGTGCACGGGTTTAAGGCTGAGGGTAAGGGTGTGAGGGCTAGCTCGCTTAGGGGGTCTAGTGTCTGCGTCAGGGTGATAGGGTTCATGTTACACTGTCTGGAATAAGGTTAGTGCTCAGGGATCGGATGTTCGGGTCAGCGCTGAGGTGTTAGGCTTATGGTGTTGGGATTGGGGTGTTAGTATTGGGGTGCTGAGGTTAAGGTATTAGGGCGTGAAGGTGCTAGAGTTGGGGTGTTAGGGTCAGTGCTACGTTCCAATGAGGGCGAGAGCGCACGAGGACTAGCGCGCCAGGGGTAGGGTGTCAGGGTGGCGGCCTGCGTCGCGGGAGGAGGAAGGGAGGCGGAGGAGAAAGAGGTGGGTAGCATGTGGGATCTGGGAAAAAGTGGCGGACCTGGTTGGGGTACTCTGCCGTGTTTCTGCGGGCGCGCGTCCAAGCGGAACTCACTCAAGCAGGTCGTGTTCGGGCGCGGCGAACGCGTAACACACGGAGCGGGGTACACACTAGGACGATGAGGAAGCGGAGAAGGAAAAGGACGGGCCAGGCATGAGGCGAAGGGGAACGAGAAGAGGAAGGAGGAGGAGGAGGAGGAGGAGGAGGAGCATCCGCATCAGAAGGCGGAGTTGACATGTCAGCAGGAAGGGGAGGGAATTGGTTGAGGAAGCAACGGGAGGATTAGAAATGGGATGAGGGAAAAGCGGAACGATGAGGATGATAAGGAGAGACGATGATGATGGTGATGATGACGACGACGAGGACGAGGATGACGACGGTACTAATGAGGATGATGGTGATGATGACGATAACGATGATGATGATGGTGATGATGATGATGATGATGATGATGATAGTGATGGCGGTAGTGATGATGATGGGGACGGTGATGATGATGCTGATGATGATGATGCTGATGCTGATGGCGGTGACGTTGATGATTGTCTTGGAAATGGTGGTGACGATGACGATGGTGATGATGGTGATGGTGATGGTTATGCTGATGCTAGTGGCGATGATGATGACGATACTGCTGATGATGTAATCATGGTGATGATGTTCATGGTCATGGTGATGATGGTGATGATGGTGATGCCGATGGTGACGGTAATGATGCGGATGTTGAGTATGGTGATGATCGTGATAGTGCTGATGCTGATGATTGTGACGATGTTGATGCTGCTGGTGATGATGAGGATGGTGATGTTGCTGAGCATGATGGTGATGGTGGTGATGATGATGATGATGATGACGATGGTGATGGTGATGATGCCGACGATGCTGATGCTGGCGATGGTGCTGCTGATGTTGGCAACTATGGCGATGACGATACTGCGGAGTCGTGTTATGATGTTGATGGTGATAACGATGAGGATGATGACGAGATTGATGATGATGATGATGATGATGATGATGATGATGATACTGATGATGATGATGATGGTGATGATGATGATGATGATGATGATGATGATGATGATGATGATGCGAGTGATGAATAGGAGAAGTAAGATCCTGCGGAAGAGGAGGGACGATGCGGAGGAACCTTTTATACATATTTATATATATTTAAATTTATATAGTGATGCGAATGATGACGACGACGTTGGTGATGGTGATGATGGTGAGGAGGAGGAGCAGGAGGAGGACAAGGAAGCTGAGGAGGAGGAGGAGGGCGCGGGGATGAGAGGAGGAAAGTCGGTGAGAGCGTCTGCGAGAACAAACGGTGATAAGAAAGTAGGGAGAGAGCGGAGGTGAGGAGGAGGGATGGAGGAAGGGGATGAGACGTAGCAGGGAGGGAGGACGGAGAGGACAGAGTACGAGGAAACGTAGGAAGCAGTAAGCAACCGAAGGGGATGAGCAAAAAGATGGAGGGTGGTAAGACGAAGACGTGAGCTGAGATAAAACGTTGAAGCCGCCCAGGCGTTGATACAGGCTGACACCTCTCGTCCTCATCCTCGACCTCGCTTTCGTACGCCTCCTCCTCCTGCTTCTCCTCGTCCTCGTCCTTTCTCTCCTCCTCATCATCATCATCCTCATCATCCTTGTCCTCCTCCTCATCATCCACTACCGCCTCCTCCGCCTCCTCCTGCTCCTGCTCGTCCTCCTCCTCCTCCTTCTCCTCATCCTCTTCCTCCTCCTCCTCCTCATTTTCATCCTCCTCCTCCTCTTCCTCCTCCTCCTCCTCCTCCTCCTCCTCCTCCTCCTCCCCCTCCTCCTCCTCATCGTCCCAATCCACCGCGTCCTGGGCCGTCTCCTCCCCGTCATCCTCCTCCTCCTCCTCCTCCTGCTCCTCCTCCTCCTGGTCCTCGTCCTCCTCCTCCTCCTCCTCCTTCTTCTCCTCTTCCTCGTCCTCGGCCGCCTCCTCCTCCTCCTCCTCCTCCTCCTCCTCCTCCTCCTCCTCCTCGTCCTCGTCCTCGTCCTCCTCCTCCTCCTCCTGCTCCTCCTCCTCCTCCTCATTCTCCTGCTCCTCCTCCTCCTCCTCTTCCTCTTTCTCTCATCTTCCTCCTCATCTTCCTCCCTCCTCCTCTCCTCCTGCTCCTCCTGTTCCTACTCCTGCTCCTGCTCCTCCTCCTCCTCCTCCCGCTTCTCCTCCTCCTCCTCCTCCTCCTCCTCCTCCTCTTCCTCCTCCTCCTCCTCATCATCATCCCTTTCCTCCTCCTCCTCCTCCTCCTCCTCCTCCTCCTTCTCCTCCTCCTCCTGTTCCTCCTCCTCGTCCTCCTCCTCCTCCTCGTCCTCCGCCTCCTCCTCCTCCTCCTCCTCCTCCTCCTTCTCTTTCCTCCTCCTCCTAGTCCGCCTCATCCCAGTCAGCCTCCTCCTCCTCCACGACTGAGAGGCTTCGGGCGGGCGAGCCGCGGCCTCTGCCGGTTGGCGAACTCCTGGCCCACGAGCTCGTAGCTCCCGTTCCTGGGCGGCCAGGGCCCCCCCCCCTCCTGGCGGCCCGCCGCGGGCCGATCCCTGACCTGCAAGCGCACGCAGCAATACGACGCCCACAACGCAAAAAAAGCATCGGACGTCAGAACGGGAGCTGACACGGGGCTACGAAACGCCGTACTGGGTGGGTGAAGCGCAGGGGAGAGGGGGAGGAGGGAGGAGGAGCAGGGAGGAGGGGGAGGAGGAGAGGAGAGGAGGAGAGGAGGAGGAGCGCGGGGCGACGTCTCTTCAAAACGAGGACCCAACACCACAGGATGGTTGGGACAAAAACACGAGACGTCAGAACGGGAGCTGACACGCCCTCCGCACTTTGCAGTGGCATCGGAGCTCTGGCCCGGCGCCGGCCCTCTGACAGGCACCGGGAGCCCCACGTTACGGGCAGAGCCCTCGCTGTACACCTCCACGTCATGTGAGGGCTTGCAAACAAGATCGGCGCGCACGAAATTGCAATTGAGACCGTTCGCTGCGTAGCTGCAACTCCTTCTACAACCCCATACAGAATCCAATGTTGTCAACACCGGCAGGCCGAGGATGCGTATGACTCCTGTACCCCGTGGACCGGATGTAGGAGATCCCTATGGTTACATGGCGCACGCGATGGATTTCGGACCCAGCCGACCAAATCACGTCCGACTCGTGGCCCTGGGCGTAGACTTTCAGCATCCATATCTCCGCCTAGCCCGAGAGAGCACTCAAGACAAGACTCACAGGGGTCATGGGCCATTATGTTTGCCCTAATGGTGTGTGGCACGATAAAGGAATGGGATTCAACGCTCATGCTTGCCACGGTTCGACATTGATCGGATGCACAGACGAACAAAAAGGGGTTGGCACATCTCTACTAGAGGCCTCCTGGATGGGGTACGAGTGGATGTGGTCGGAGGATCGCGCCGCATCGCCGACACATCGGCGATGCATCGACGATGCATCGGCGATGCATCGGCGACGGCGGCGATGCATCGGCGCCGTCGTCGAACATCGGGCTCCACATCGAGCCGCACCGACGATGCATCGGCGACGCGGGGCGATCCTCCGACCCCATCTACCTGGACCCCATCTAGCAGGCGCATCTGCACATAATCTTCAGGTCCACTGTCGCCACGGGAGGAAGAGTGCTGTTCGGCCTGCAGCTGCAAGCGTGCGTGAGCGCCTCGCTGAAGCACGGCGCGGGGGAGCCCTGGCAGCAAAGCTGGCCATACCCACGGGAAAGCCGCCACGGCAGCCACCGCCAGCGAGGCCGCCAGCAGGGCCGCTCAAGGCGAGCACCAGCGCCGCGATAGACAGCGCGTCATGCACTAGAGCCACACTGCACGGGCGCCGGCAGTGCCGAAGAGAAAGTTTGCATTTGAGCCAGAGTTTGAGCCAAAATGGTTGCGGACGGGAGGGGATGACGAGGAAGGTGATGTTTGTTTTGGGGGGCGCTCCTGAACCTCTCTGGACCCTCGGGGGCGACCTCTGGAGGAGGAGCATCGGGGTCGGGATCGGGCTCGTGGGCGTTCGTCTGAGATTGCCCATCACCTGCTCGGCTGCCGCGTGGCGCAGAGAACACAAGGGGAGCTCCGAGGGGCGAAGGACGATGCTGCCAAACCGGCACGATGGACGCCGCTGACCGCACCCTGAGGAAAGGGAACCTGGAGCAAGCAGATAGAAAGAAAGATGCTCAGCTTAGATAGCGACTCCTCCACGGACTCCTCATCCTCTTCTTCCTCCTCCCCACTGCTGAGGGGACATCGCCTCAGTGTCAACCAGCAGAGAAGAAGCGGGTCCTGAAGGAAACGGGCCTGGGCCCCAGAAGCTGTCCCCAGGGATCACCACTTCTCAATCCTGAGACACCCCTAATAGTCCCAGGGCCCGTCGATTGTCCCAAGAGCCTGAAAACGGCAAAATACCTCCTGGACCCGTCCCCTCCCATGGACCCCGTTCCAGCAGTAGAGGCCTCCCAAGTGGGGTCCGAGTAGATGGGGTCGGAGGATCGCGCCGCATCGATCGCAAATGCATCGCCCATGCACCGGCGACGTCGGCGATGCATCAGCGGCGTCGGCGTGGAGAAGATCGGGCTCCACATCGAGGCGCATCGGCGAGGCATCGGCGATGTGGCGCGATCCTCGGGCACCACCATCTGGGAAGCCTGGGTCCCAGGGGGGGACCCATTTCCACTGTGGCGGCCATGGCTGGCCCACCCTTGACGTTCAGCGCGCGGGGAGTCGCCACCCGGTGCGCACTCGCTGGGGGAGGGCCTCACGGCCTCCCAGCGGGGTCAGGGGGAGGGGGGCGGAGGGACTTCATGATTCTTCTTATGCTAGGTCCGAATCTCATATGTCAGTACGTGTAATGTCTAGATTGATACTCGCACGAGTACGGAGCATGTTGCCCTGTCTTACGATTAGGAGCCTCATCAGCACTGGTATTCGCACACCTCCTCTCATTCCTAAGAGATTCCTACGAGCACATACTCAGAATATGCGTAAGTATGATGATCATTTCTCTGATTATCCTTCCTCTTCTTCTTCTCTTCCTCTTCTTCTTATGATTATTATTATTATTCTTCTTCTTCGCGCGTGGCCGCCACGTTGTCTGGCTGGCTCGCCGGCGAGCTCCACAGCACTCGTTCCCCCTGGCCTCGCCTGCCTCCTCGGCCCCAGCGCGAACCCGTTGCCGCTCGACCCGTGGCGCGTGGCAGGGCACGGGCGTCCCGGGGGCATCCAGCCCCTGCCGCCCCGAGGCCGTCCCTGGGGACCGGCCCTCCGTTCTGCACACATGGTGGGGGCACTGGACAAGGAACCCTCAGACAAGGAGTCCAGGGTCTGGAAGCCGGTGGAGCTCCAGTCGTGGACCGACCATGGGTACCACCGCCGCCTGCACATGCGGTGGGGGCACTGGACAAGGAACCCTCAGTAGACGAGCGCGGTCCACTGCTCGCACAGAAAACTGCTCGCAAGTGGCCTGGATCTCCCGCGGGGGATCTACGAGAAATGGCATCCGAGCAGACATGTGCGTTTCGGACGTCTGCGAGTGGGCACTCTGCGAGCAGTGGAACGCGCTCGGTGACTCAGGCAAGGAGCCCAGGGTCTGGACGCCGGTGGAGCTCCAATCGTGGACCGACCATGGGTACCACCGCCGCCCTCATCAGACAAGGAGTCCCCCAGGGTCTGCAGCCTCTCGGTAGGAAGGCACCAACCATACACCAACACCGATCCTGGCCAGGATCACCCTGGGCCCAGGATCGGTGTATACGCCCTCCTGCCTTGCGCAAGAAGGCATATACACCGATCCTGGGCCCAGGGTGATCCTGGGCCAGGATCGGTGTTGGTGTATAGTTGGTGCCCTCCGACTCGGGCACACTCCTCAACGAACGTCCTCACAGCACATGCTTGACGGTCCCGGTGCCCGTGGAGTGCCCCAGAGGCCCTGCTGACAGCGAAACTCCTCCATGGCCCCATGTCCTCCAGGGCCCGTTTCCTTACTGCTGAGTCTCCGTCTTCGTCCCAGCTCGCTCTGGTGGCCCCGGTCCCGGCTCCAGCTTCGATCCCGTTGTCCTGGCCGTGGTCGTCTGCCCTCTCCCCCCCCTCACCCTGGCGATATAATCCGTCTGCTGGGTGCAGCACGATCGTCGGGCGACGCTATTGTCCATCCAGCGCGCACCTTCCAACAACGACGTTGCCCTCGTGACATATGCCTGTACCCGGACGCCACGTCCTGACTGGGGGGGAGGAGAAAGTGTCTCGGCCAAGGGACAAGAGTTGTCTGCGTGCAGCCGCAAACGTGCGACGACGCGCGGCGTGGTTCCTTCTGGAGGGCCTCGTCTGCTGGCGACTTCGTTCCTCTGGAGAAGACAGGAGGCGAAGAAGCATCTCCGCCTCCCCTGTGTTGGCCTCGCCCTGGTCGTGCATTCTCTCCTCTTCGCTGGTAGGCCCCTCGTCCCGTCCCTCCCCTTGAGATAATTCCAGAGGGGCGGGGGGCAGAGAACCAGGGGGAGCAGGAAGGAACAGGGAGAAACAATCAGGGACGGACCACCTAAGGTGAGGAGAAGCAAGGGCTCCCAACTTCGCGCTTCGCGCAGCGCGAAGCGCGAAGTGCGAATAACTTCGCGCTCTCGCGCCGCCTCCCAGGGGAGAAGAGGAGGATGGGGAGGACCCGGAGCCGAACCGCGAAGCGCGAAGCGCGAACAACTTCGCGCCCTCGAGGGCGCCCTTGGGAAGCGTCCATGATTCGACGGGCTTGGCATCGGCGACGGGGCAGCTGGAGTCGAGAGCGGCAAGGCTGCTGGTCGCATCCCAGAGCCCAGCAAGTCGGACCGTTTCGGAGGAGGGGGCCCACGTCGGATTGCAAAAAAACCCTGGATTGCAAAAAAAACCAGGATTGCAAAAAAAACCCTGGGTTTTTTTGCAATCCTGGGTTTTTTTGCAATCCTGGGTTTTTTGCAATCCTGTGCTCGCGACCAGCACGAGAACAGCACAGCGAGCCCACCCCATGAAGAGCTCCGCGGCCCTGCTCCGCGCCGCTCCTGTCGGGCAGCGCCCGGTACCAGAGCGGCGACACCGCAGAGAGCTTCCTGCGGAAGTAGTTCGTGGACCTGTAGCCTGCGGCTTGCCGCGGGATGCGATGCGATGCGACCACCGTTGCGGACAGCGTCCGTCGGGTCGGGCGAAAGGGGGGGATAGCAAAGGAGGGGTTTGAGAATCAGCTCACGTATGTAGCTGATTTTCCCGGCGCCTCCCGGCGCCGGGAGGCGCCCATGTATCGAGGAATGGGCCCCTCGGTCGGGCCGAAACCAGCTGCATGCAGCAAATTTCGTAACCCCCCCTTTCCCAATCCCCCCCTTTCGCCCGGCCCGAGTCCGGGCCTAGAGCAGACCAGGTGGGTGAGGCCATGGCCTCTAGGATCTGAGGTGTCTGGGTTCATGCAGTGCGGGACATGTAAAGAGCTAGGAGAGGAGGGGGAGGAGGAGGAAAAGAAAGTCCTGGGTGTCGGTGTCGGCGCGGGTTGGGCGAGATTACGTCATGGGTCTGAGTCCCGGGTGCTGGTCGACGTGAGGTCGGTGAAGTGGTGCTCGAGCGCTGTCCATGCTTCGGTTTTTTGGGCGGCTTGCCGCGGGAGTGTGGGGGGGAAAGAAAAGCTCAGGGAAAGTCGGCTTGGGAGGAGGAAGAGGAAGAGACGCGGCAGGAGTCCAGAACATAGCCCGGCCGACTCTGGGCCTAATGGTTTGTGTCCACGGCCACCTCGAGGTCGTAAACCTGGTCTTCAAAGTGATGGCCGATGCTCACGAGGCTGAGCCTCACAATAACGCGACACTGCGGCAGAAGACCCCAAACACCTTCACGCAGTTCATAGTGGGAGGCCACGATGGGCCATCGATTTCAGAGGCTAGAAGATGTGTGTACATATGTATATATATATATATATGCATATTTACACACATGTATGTATACATGTGTATGTATATGTACATTTGGGTGTATCCATGAATGTGTGTATGTACGTACGTACGTATGTATGGATGTTTGTAAATATGCATGTATGATCTGTCGCTGCATACATACAAAAATGTACATACATGTATACAAGACTACATTGGCGCTTCGCGTCATGCACCTTTGTCTTCTAACTTTGGCTTGCAAGCGGAGGGACTGGAAGGTAACACAGACAACGTTGCGAGACCTTCCTGTTACATTGTTCTGGCATCGCCGCTGGAACCTGCTTTTAACTTTCTGAGATAGCGGCCGTCATCGGCCCCGCCCACCGTCCCCCCCCAGATGGCGTCACGTTCCGCGCCGGCGGCGTTCGGGAATACCTACGGACGACCCAGGCCAGCTAGGAGCAGCATGTACGTGGCGATCTGCACCACAACGCCTGTGTACACCACAGTGCTCACGTGCACCACAGCGCGCGTGTACAGCACAACGCCTGTGTACACCGCAGCAGCCGTGTGCAACGAAGCGTCTGTGTACACCACAATGCTTGCGTGCACCACAGCGCCTGTGTACACCACAACGTATGTTTACACCGCAGCAGCCATGCGCAACACAGCGCCTGGGTACACCACGGTGCCCGCGTGCATCACAGCGCGCGTGTACACCACAGCGCCTGCGTACACCGCAACAGCCGTGTGCAACGCAGCGCCTGTGTACACCACAGTACTTGCGTGCAGCGCAGCGCCTGTGTACACCACAGTGTATGTGTAAACCACAGTAACCATGTGAACACACAGCGTCTTTGTACACCACAATGCTAGCATACACCGCAGCGCCTGTGCACACCACAGCGCCTGTGTACACCACAACATCCGCGTGCAACGCAGCGCTGGTGTACGCCACAGCGCCTACGTGCACAGGACAGGTAGGAGCATATGAATGACGATCTGCTGCGGACAGCTAAACACCACGACAGGGAAGTGCTGATATTAAAATGGGGGGAGGAGGAGGACGAGGAGGAGGAGGAGGAGGAGGACCTCCCTATCCTCCCTTCTCCCCCGTCCAGCCTAGGGTAGTGGTAATGGAAAATCGGCCCACCATGGCAGATCCCTTCATAGGAGAAGGGGAGCGTGGCTCCTGCTCTGGCCAATGCTGCCGAAAGGTACCGATACTGCCACTCCCCGGACCTCTCCTGGGGTGCGTGTTGACCAGGATTTCGAGGCGAATCCAGCGGTGGCGACGAAGGCCTCCCAAGAGGCCCAAAAAGGAGAAAACGGGTGAAGGGTAGAGGTATGGGTACCTCGTCCTCCTTTTAAACCCTCCCGCGGGCCGCCCTGGTCGTGCCAGGGGAGCACCAGCCCCACCACGCGCGGCAGCTGCCCGACGTGCTGCTCCGCCCAGGGCGAGGAGGCGTTGCAGAAGACGCGGGCGCTCCTGCGCGCGGGGGGGGGGCGAGACAAGGCCAGGTCTCGCGTGTCTGTCAGCGGCGACTTGGGCCCAAGACGCTCAGGAGGCAACAATTGGTTGGGAGGTCTTCGCCAAAGCATTTAGGAGGATTATGCCCCATTGGGGGGCTGTTACGCGGGAGTGGGCCTCGAATTGAGCCGGATTGCACGGGATCAAGCCGGATTTCGCGGGATTAAGCCAGACTAAACGGGATGAAGCCAGATTCGGACCAAGGCAAAGTCAGAATTCTACCTCCCAGGAGTTGCATCCGAAAGACGAGGCCAGGTTTTGTGTTTGTCAGCAGCGACTTGGGCCCAAGACGCGGTCAAAGCTACGGCGGGACGCATCCATGGCGCATTGGGCACGCAGAAGGAAAGGAGAGGGTGCCAGAAAAGGGGGGGGGGAAGCCGTGGGCGGCGGAGCACGCTCAGACCGTGAAGATCTCGCGCGAGTGTGCTGGAGCACAGCCTCACACGGGTAGCGAACCAGAGAGCAAGGTGGCGGGATGATGGCGGGCGACGCCAAAAATCAGTGGACGTCCTGGGGTCTCAGGGTTGGGTTTCTTGTGGGAGGTTTCTTGTGGTCGAGCCCCTACTGTAGCCCCTGATCGTCGAAGAACAAAAAGCGGCACGGGTGCAAAGCCGGGCAAGGATAAACTGGGGATCTCAGAGATCTCACGGTTCTGGAGGATGCCTCGGGCGCAGCAGATTCCTCGGAGCGTCCCGGAACGCTCCTCCGGCGGTCCGGAACACTCTAGAACGATGCATCCCTACGTATCCTGACCCCGCCAGAATTGGGAGCGCCCTGGGCTGCCCGAGGGCTCTGGGCTTCTGCTTCCTCCTCCTCCTCCTCCTCCTCCTCCTCCTCCTCCTCCTCCCCCTCCTCCTCCTCCTCCTCCTCCACCTCCTCCTCCTGCTCATCCTCCCTCCTCCTCCTCCTCCTCCTCCTCCTCCTCCTCCTCCTCCTCCTCCTCCTCCTCCTCCTCCTTCTCATCCTCCCCCTCCTCCCCCTTCTCCGCCTCCTCCTCCTCCTCCTTCTCTTCCTCCTTCTCCTCCTCCTCCTCCTCTTCCTCTTCTTCTAATGTTTATTCTTCATATAACTTTATGGTCCTTCTTATTATTATGAAAATTTCTACGAGTACCATGATGTTCATTATTACGTTTCTTAGTATTAGTATTAGCATTCGTATCATTATTATTGGGTTATTGGTACTATGTTTCTTCTTCTTCTTCTTTGTCAGCAGCGTGGGGGATGTCGACAAGGGCGCAGCGAAGCCGCACGCTCCTGGGCGAGGTGGGGGGCCCAGCTTTGCGGCCGTCACCCCCAGTTGCTGCCCATGACGCAAGGCTCGGCGCCGTCGTCGAATGTCGCCACAGCGGGGTCGAGAGAACGAGCTAAGAAGATGTGTCAATTCCTCCTCCACCCTACTTCCTCCCGGAGCTCCCCATTCGGATTTCTTCCCGATCGTCTTCGTCGTCCTCGTCCTCGTCCTCGTCGTCCTCTCCTCCTGATGAGGGCAGCCTGAGAGGATCGGCACACAGAAAGAGAGAGAGAGAGAGACAGAGAGAGAGAGAGCGTGAGCGGCCAGTGGGACACCGTGAGCAGCAAGCAGAGAGTAGCCCGATCCAGAGAGGCCCCTCCCCTCCTCGGCCTCCTTCGCCTGGTTCCCTGCCCTCCCTCGCCTACCTCCGCTCGCTCAGCGCTCGACAATGGGAAGATAGGCTGGAAGCCCTGTATAGGAGAGTCAGGTCGAGAGAATTAACTCGTAATTCTAAGTAGAATTAACCCCACGCTTTGAGGTGACTGCCAGCGCTGTGCGCGTTAAGGCAGCGGTTCCGGGCCTTGCGTTCCCTTTCAGTCCCAAAGGCCCCTTGGTAAACTGTAAACCTAGGCTCTGCGCTGCCCGCAAGCATATGGCGTTGTCAACTCATATGGACATCGATGCAGATTGCAGCAGCAGCAGCTCCTCCGCCTCCTCCTCCTCCTCGGGGCCACTCCCGGGGTCGCCTGGGAGACCCCCCGAAGTAGAACATGCAAGCGCCAAGGAGGACGAAGAGGGGAAGGAAAGAGGGATGGAGCAGGAGGAAACCGAAGGCGGACGGGACGGGCAGGCGGCCGCGGGGTCTGCTCCACCCAGCCCCGCCGTTAAGCGCGCGAGAACACCCGTCCGAGGCAAGGAGCGGATGAAAGAAAGAGAAGGGAAGGGAGAGGGCCGCTGGGCGGAAAGCGCTAGCCCTGCACTCGCCAAAACGACCGCGGAACAGAGCGAGGGCAACCAAAACAACGACGGAGGCGCGAGGAAGGGAGCGAGGAGGGCGACGAGGACGGCGACGACGGAGAGAGGGAAGGGGGAGGACCATTTGATCTCCTCAGCGCATCAAAACGACCCTGCGGCCATCAGGAGCTCCGCGCCCTGAACGTGCAGCAGCGCGGAGAGGGACTGCCGGGCGGAGCCGAAGTGAGGCGCAAGGATAAGGGGGACTGGCATAGAGGGGAAAAACGACGACCTGGAATCGGCGAGACATCGCCCCTAGATCGGCGACGAGGGCCCGGGAGTGAGTCCGCACGTTCATGAGCAGGTCGGGGCTCTCCGGCCCCTATCGGCGATCAGTGGGCGATCGGGGGTCGATGCGTCCCCCCTATCGGCTACACGCAAGCGTGACCCTGGGTAAGAGTGACCTTTGGTGCACGGTTTAGCGGGGTCCGCCTGGGGGCCAAACGCAGGCACGCAAGCCGGCGCCATCGCCTCGCACCCGGCGAATTTCGGCAACTGTGGGGCCCCATTGGGCAAGCGCCAAAGGTCACTCCGGCCAAGGGTCACTCTTACGTGTAGCTGGCCCTATGCCTACCCCTCTTATCGTTGCCCTGGCGAAGACCCGCGACCGGTCGGTTCGGCCCCTCCGGCGCGCACACGCGCGAGGGAAAGCCACGGCGAGGGCGCCCGGGCGGCCCAAGGCTCTTTACGACGAAGGGCACCAAGCCCAGCCCTGGGCACCGCAAGCGCTTGCCAGCCTCGGCCCGCGCGGTTGCCGCGCCCGCGCTGATCGCGCCCAGAGCAGTCCGCGGCAGGTGGATGAAGCAGCGGGGGCGCAGCCGTCGATGCATGCGCGCTGGGCACTCTGGTCATTCAAAGCCGACGTCCGAGCGTGCGCGGTCCGACCTCGCACGCCAGGGCGTGATGCCCCGCGTCGTCGTCGATGCCACGCTTGCACCCTTGCCCCAACTGCGACGACCGATGTCCGCAACTGCTGGCGGGCAGGTGAGCGCCCAGAGCTCCGAGAGGCAAGAGCTGCAGCCGCAGATGCACTGCTACCGTGAAGCGTTCGTTCGCCTGGCAGCAGGTTGCTCTTCTCGGTGGGCGAAAGGAGAAAAGCGCCGCCCTCCTCGCCCGCAGACCGGAGATCCACACGACCCAGATGTTCGAAGTTTCGCAGCAGAGTCCTCTGGCATTTCGTGCCGACACGCTTCATCAACACGTTCTGCTGTTTCACGCGGCTGGGAACGAAGCAACTGCCCAGTCGGCCTGATGTCTCTGGTATCCAGGTCGGCGAAGCTCGTCCCCCGCGACCGTCGAGGCAACGCCCTGGCGCGGCGCCCGGCCGCGGCGAGCGTCAACCAGTGCGACCCCCGTGCCGTGGCGACGTCTGAGAAGCACTGTGGCCAGGAGGCGATATACGCGGCGCTCTGGGTCGAGCGAGCGGAATGGAGCGCCAAGCCTCCGCGCCGGCAAACCAGCCACGGCTGCTGCTGGCGCGGGGCGGACTGGGCCAACGTGTACGTCCCAAGGACTCGGTGCCCACCCTCTTCGTCTTCGACGGTGCCCCGTTGGGAGGTGTCTCGTCCTTACCTGCCACGCGCATGTATCGTGCAGCTCCTAAGGCAGGGCAACAGAGGACGGATGGAACAAGGGCTCCCAACTTCGCGCTTCACGCTGCGCGAAGCGCGAAGTGCGAAGTGCGAAAAACTTCGCGCTCTCGCGCCGCCTCCCAGGGGAGAAAAGGAGGATGAGGAGGAATCGGAGCCCAACCGCGAAGCGCAAAGCGCGAATAACTTCGCGCCTTCGAGGGCGCCCTTGTGGAAGGGGGAGGGAACAGGATGGAGCACGAGAGAGAGTAGCAGGAGGGGGGCTAGGAACAGAAAACGGGTGACAGACACAGACGGGCTGATCGGGCGGGCAAGCCCTAGCTGCTAGCTGGCGAGTCGGCAAGGCTGACCCAGGCGGCCAGGTCGAGCAGGCGGGCTGCTGGAGCGTGAGTCCTGCATGAACCGCGAGGAAGTCTCGAAGGATAGCGCGATTCCCAAGTAAATCGCCAGGACATCCAACACGAGAGCGTGGTTCCAAAGTGTCGACGGCGCGGCGACTGCATAAATTGCGAGGGCGTCCCACGCGAGAGCACGATTCCTGCAGATATTGTAAGGACGTCCGGTGCGAGAGCGCGATTCTGGAATAATTGTGACGAAGTTTCAGTCTGGTGCCGTTGTTGTTGTAGCCGGGGGGCCACCGACACAGTTTGAGCAGGACGACTTTCCATTGAAAAAGACAGGGTGCGAGCCCCGAGGCGGGCACTTCAATCGAACAACACAATGTGCACTGGAGGGGGGATCCGCAATAAACAACAATCAATTCAAGACTGTTCGGTCTCACCTGCTCGCGTGCCAGTCGACACGTATATCACAAACGCTCGATACCCGCCCACTTCGTCTTCGATCAATCCCCCCTTGGGGGCATCTCTTCCTTACCTGCCACGTGTAATGGCAGAACCAGACGCAGACGTGCAGATCGGGCGATCAGACCCTAGCGGGCGAGTCGGGAAGGCTGACCCAGGCAGCCAGGTCGAGCAGGCGGGCTGCTGCAGCGTGAGTCATCATGAATCACGAAGTCTCCAACGATAGGGCGATTCCCAAGTAAATCGCGAGAAAAGCAAGAGTGAGAGCGCGACTCCTGAACGTCGAGGGCGCGGCGTTTGAATAGGTTGCCGAGAAGTCCCGCGCGAGAGCGCGATTCCTGCAGCAATTGTGAAGAGCTCCCGCGCGAGAGCGCCACTTTGAAATAGATAACGAGAAATCTCAAGCGGGAGCCGTTGCCTCTGTAAGTCGGAGGCCACGGGCGCAAGTTGGTGGCCACACACCTTCCGCGGTGACAAAACAGGGCGCGAGCACCGGGAAGAACACTTTGATTGAAAAGCACAACTGGCCACGTGGAAATCAACAACACTTTGTATCGTTTGGAACTGAGAAAACAACATCAGCAGCACCACCAACAACAACTACAACAACTACAACAACAACTACAACAACGGCGACGACGGCAGCAACAACAACAACAACAATCATGTTAAGACTGCTCGCTCCTATGTGTTCCGTGCTGGTTCAAACCCTCGGTACCTGCCTTCTTCGTCTCCGATCAAGCCCCCCTTGGGGGTGTGTATCTTTCATACCTGCCACGTGTAATTGGTGCAGCCCCTAGAACAAGGGGAGGGAGGACGGATGGGAGGGGGAGGAAGAAGGATGGAGCACGAGAGAAATTAGCAGGAGGGGGGCTAAGAGCAGAAAAAGAAGTGGCAAAGCAGAAAAGAAATGGCGGACCCAGACGGGCCGACCGGACGGGCAGACCCTAGCGGGCGAGTCGGAAAGGCGGGCCCAAACGGCCAGGTCGAGCAGGCGGGTTGAAGCGTGCGTCCTGTATGAATCGCGAAGAAGTCTCAAGCGATTGCGCGATTTCAAAGTGAATCGTGAGAAAAAACAAAGCGAGAGCATGATTCCTGAGCGTCGAGGGCGCAGCGTATGAATCAATTGCGAGGAAGTCCCACACGAGAGCGCAATTCATAAATTGTGGGGCATCCCCGCGCGACAGCGCGATTGTGGAATAAACTGAGGGGGGATCAGGCGCGAGCCGCTGTTGTTGTAAACCGGGGGCCAAGGGCCCAGTTTGGTGGCACCCAGCTTTCTCTTAAACAGGGTGCGGGCCACAGGAGGAGCACTTAAATGGCAAAATACAACGGTTACCGCGCAGGGGTGATCAACAACAAAAACTATTTAGGAATGGCAGCTCAACAACAACCACAACAACAACAACAACAACAACAACAACAACAACAACAACAACAACAATTACTAGCACGTGGGGACACTCCGTTCTCACCAGTGCCAGGGTTTTCATAGGAGGCGGGCAATACCCCCACTTTGTGGGGGGGCCGGTTCAAGCTCTACCAAATTTCCAAACGACTCTTCGCCACCACCCACACCCAGCTTCCCGCCCTATGACGTTCGGACACTTCACTTCGTGGCATGCGGACGACCGTGGCTACTATTCAGGGCCCCGCGGCCGACGACGACGGCGTGCGCGCGCGAAGAAAAAACGAATGTGTCCCGCATGGTATTATTTGACAGGGATGATGGCCCTGGCAGGTGCGCAACCGTTGTTGCAGAAGTTCGAAAAAGTTGCTCGCAAAAGCCCGTTTGACAGAAATGATTAAAAAGTGTTGGGTTTCCTACGAATCCGCAAGAGCGCGCGGGATGAAATTTTGACATTTTTTTTTGAAAAACCATTGGTTTTTTGATGTTTTTATGTTAAAATCGCTACGAAAACTAAGGTTTTGGAAGGATTTCGTCTTGCGCGCGCGAATGTCCACTTTACCTTATTTTTTGCAAGGGATTCTTGAAGTTTGGTTATGTTAGAACAAGAAATGTCCACTTTAGCTTATTTTTTGCAAGGGAAAACCGATCGTAACAACACAACCGGATCCGGACTCCCCCGTTTTGCCTGAGACTTCCTCACGAAAATGATGAAAATGAGGCTGCGGCCTAGGCGCGGCGGGGGGGTCGTGCACCAGGGGCCCCAACAATAATTATTCTTTAGAAGTAATAATGTTCAACAGCAACAACAACAACAACATCGACACAAACAACAACAGCAGCAACAACCATAACAACAGCATAAGCAGCATCAGCAACACACATCACAACAACAGTAAGCATATTAAGACTGGTCGTTCTTATCTGCTCGCGTGCCATTCAACACTCATATCCCAAACCCTTGGTACCCACCCTCTTCGTCTTAGATGGTGCCCACATATATATATATATATATATATATATATGTTCTTACCTGCACGGAGAATGTCGTGCAGCCCCTAAGAGAGGGGAAGAGAGGACGGATGGAAGGAAGGGACAAGGGGGAGGGAGGAGGATGGAGCACGAGAGAGAGTAGCAGGATAGGGGGCCAGGAGCAGAAAATAAGTGGCAGACCCGGACGGGCAAATTGGGAGGGTAGACCCGACCGGGCGGGTCGGGAAGGCGGGCCCAGGCTGCCAGGCCGAGCAGGCGGGTGGCTGAAGCGTGTGTCCTGAATGAATCGCGAGGCAGTCTCGAACGACAGCGCGATTCCTCAGTGAACCGTGAGGACATCCATCCTGTGCGTTGGCGCCGCCCTCCGCCGAGCCTCCACCGGCATCCGCCGGCGGAGCCGCGCTCGTCGTGCTTCCGCTGGCTTCGGCCGGCCTCTCGCCGAAGAAGAGGCGTCAACCCCTCCGCCTCTGGAGTTGGGGAAACCAACAGGTACCGATACCACTACTCCCCGGACCCCTCCCGGGGTGCGTTCTGACCAGGATTTCGAGACGAATCCAGCGGTGGCGACGAGGGTCCCAGAGGAGGCCAAAGGGGAGAACGAGGAAGGGGTAGCGGTATGGGTACCTGGTCCTCCTCATGAGGAGTGGCGAGGTCCTTCCTGCAGCGCCTCCAGACACCTCCGAAGCCCCCCCCCCCCGCGGTGCGTCGAGCATGGCTTCCCCGGGGCCCCAGGCAGAGCGGGGTTGAGCGGCTGCGGGCCCCGCCGCGCGTGCTCCAGGCTTCGGCCTGTGGCCTGAGGGGCAACGACATGGGGGGGGACATGGCATGACGATAGGACGGAGGGGGGGGTCGTTGCCCCCGGACGGCTGCTTCCCCTCCACCCCGTTCCCCTCCGCCCGCCGAACCGCTCACCCCGCTCAGCCGGGAGTCCCCGATGGGGCCACACTCGCGCGCGGCCCCCCGCCGCCCGCGGTCTTCGCGTAGGTCACGGCCCTCTCCGACGCGCCCCTCACCAGCCCCAACTCGGGAGCGCACTCGTCACCTCGGTGCCACCCGTCGCTTGGTTCAAGGCTCGAGCAAGCTTAGCCAGCGAGTTCACACCGAATGTCGGCAAAGTCCTCGGCGAGCCTTTTTAAAAATCCCCTGTCAGGTACTCTCCCTGGATACAGCAGGAGAGAAGCATGGATCATTATCACTATCGTTGTCGTTGTCGTTGTGATCGCTATCGTTGTCGCAGCCCCGGCTCGGGAGCGCACTCGTCACCTCGGTGCCCCCCCCCCCCCCGCTGGACACGCCGCCGACGCCGCTGACGCCGCGGCATCGGCGCCCGCCGCCCACTCTCCCAAGGGGGAGGGGGAGAGGGAGCAGGAGGAGGAGGAGGACAGATAGACGGAGGATGCGGAGGAGAACAAGGAGGACAAGGAGGACAAGGAGGAGGAGGAGGAGGAGGAGGAGGAGGAGGAAGAGGACAGAGAGGACGATTCGGAGGAGGAGAACACGGAGGACAAGGAGGAGGAGGAGGAGGAGGAGGAGGAGGAGAAGAAGGAGTGGGACAATGAGAAGTGTGACCAGGAGGCCGAGGACGGCGAGGCGGTCGCGAACGGAGGGGAGGCCGTGGACGACCACGGGGGGAGCGATGGGGGCGCGAGCGAGGAGGGCGAAGAGGAGGACGAGGAGGCCTTCCTCCTCCCTCTTCTCTGACCCCCCTTACAAGCGAGGGGCATGTTTATATCCATGCCCTCCAGGCCTGGGCACCGAGGCACGAGCACACGGATGATCGACTCCATGCACACATCACGTGCGGGGCACCCGCCCAGAGCGGCCCTGCAACCGCGGAGGCGCGGCCGAGAAGTCTGTACCGGGAGCCCTTCGGTGTGGGTATTCCTCCGCCCCCATGGCCTGAGGAACCCAGGGTCTGGAAGCCGGTGGAACTCCAATCGTGGATAGGCCAAGATATCATCGCCGCCCTCATCGGATCAGGAACACTCCAGGGCCTGAAGCCTTCTGGGCACATTCCTCAACAAACGCCCCCGTTCAATGGCCGACCTCTTACTCCTCGACCCTGGCACGCCTCCAGTCGCGAGCGACGAACGTACCCATGCCCGCGCCCTCGGGGTCCGGATTCATGGGCGCGATCTCACAGATACGCGGTCGCATGAACACGCTTCGCGCGGGGCATACACGAAAAAACGCCCCGCATCCACGGGGACGTGGTCCAGGGATATGTTTTTCGCCCACGAAGCGCCACCCGCCCCCATTCCGAAATTCACTTCGTCCGCTTCAGCTCGTCCGCATCGATTCGTCGGGCTTCAATCCGTCCGGCCCCCGAAAAACTGCGACACGTGAATACGAAACGCAAGAGGACGAATCGAAGGAGGACGAAACTAAAGCGGACCAGGGTCGCATTGACCAGGGTTCGTACAGGATCCTTCGCGTTGACCCGGGCTTGGGTGCAAGACCTTGCAGGATCCTGCAAGATCCTGCAAGGCCCGACTGACACGGGTTTGCATTGCCCCGGGTCAGAAGATCCCCGAGCCTTCCTCCCCGAATCTTGCAGGATCCTATGCTGAATTCGGGCGTGTCCCCCATACAGGGGGGATTTTCGACGAAAACTAGAAAATACTTCAAACATGCTCTCAAATGGTAATCAAAAATAATCAAAAGATAGTCCCAATACTATGTTTTGACTATTCTTGAAAATTCCACCCTGTAGAGGGACAGGCCCGACTTAGGAGGAGGAGGAAGAGGAGGAGGAGGAGGAGGAGGAGGAGGAGGAGGAGGAGGAGGAGGGGGAGGAGGGAGGAGTGAGGAGGAGGAGGAGGAGGAGGAGGAGGAGGAGGAGGAGGAGAAGGAGGAGGAGGAGGAGGCGGAAAAAGGAGGAGGAGGAGGAGGAGGAGGAGGAGGAGGAGGAGGAGGGAGGAGGAGGAGAGGAGGAGGAGGAGGAGGGAGAGGAGGAGGGAGAGGAGGAGGAAGAGGGAGGAGGGAGGAGGACGAGGAGGACGAGGAGGGAGGAGGGAGAAGGAGGAGGAGGAGGAGGAGCAGGAGGAGGAGGAGGAGGAGGAGGGAGGAGGGGGGAGAGAGGAGGACGAGGAGGACGAGGAGGACGAGGAGGAGGGCAAACGCTCGGCTGATGGCGGGTTCGGGCCGGACCGACTCGGCATCGACTCGCAAGGCCGAGGCGCGGTGCACCGGGGCAACATGCGGCCTGCGAGGTCCGTCGCAGAGCAGAGCCTGCCGTGAGGCCCCTCGACCTGCGGCATTACTCATTACGTTTAAGTCGGGCGTGTCCCCCTACAGGGGGATTTTCGACGAAAAATAAAGAATACTCAAAAAATACTCCAACATGAAAAAAAAGTCCCCCGACTATGTTTTGACTATTTTTGGATGTTCCCCCTGTAGAAGGACAGGTCCGATTTAACATTACGTGCATGAAGACCCAGGAGGGGGAAAAAAGAGCGCAGGCATGCCCTCCAAGACGAAAACCAAATCTGTCTCACGCTGCTAGGCGCAAGGAAACACCTCAAGAGATCTGCCGGAGAGGGTCTGCACTCGACCTCTGCTGCAGCCAGGAAGCTCACGTAGCTTCTGGGCTGATCGATTCTAGTTGCCCTGGTATAACGGGCGGAACTGCACGGTGCAGGAATCTACGCGAACCAACGTGCTGCGATCCGCTCTCAACTTGACCATTGTGCTGATACCACCAGAGCACAGCTTCTGGAAGGCTTGCTCTATCGCTGCACTGTTGCCGTCGGCGCCGAAGGGAACGCCGATCTCCTTCAGCGGAGTACTCCCGTCGGGGATCGGAGGCGGCCTCAGGCTGCGCAGTACGACCCACGCCTCCAGCCACGGGGCCGCCCTGCTCCTCGAAGGCGCTCTGTGATTCTCCTCACGGGCGAGCTCTGGGCGCCGCTTGGGGCCGTCGAGCGCGCTCTTCCTCGGAGGCTGCCTGCTCCTCCTCGGCGGCGCGCTGCTCTTCGGGGGCTAGCTGCTCCTCGAAGGCCTTATGCGGCTCCCCGAAGAGTCCAAAAGTGCGCTGCTCCTCGAAGGCTCGCTGCCTCCCCTCCTTTGAAGGCGTGCTGCTCCTCGAGGCCTCCCCGCTGCCCCCTCCAGGGCGTGCTGCCCCTGCGAGGGCGCAACTTCTCCTCGAGGGCGTGCTGCTCCTCGACGGCGTGCTGCTCTCCTCGAAGGCGTGCTGCTGATCCTCCGAGGCCTGCGGCTCCTCGAAGGCTGACAGTGGAGGCCAGTCCACAAGAGACCTTCCACCAGAAGCCCAACCCGGAGACCCCAGGACGTCCACTGAGCTGTGGCGTGGGCGCGTCACGCTGTCCACAGAGGAGCCATCGGAACCTGAGAAACCCAGGGCACCCTGGAGGCAGGCAGGGTGTTTCCTGCCGTGGGCCCCCACTGTGCCGCAGCTGCACGGCGCGCGGCCCCTTCAGCGCGCAGTGCTCCTCGAGGGCGTGCTGCCCCCGCGAGGGCGACGACCGCGGGCGGCTCCGGGAAGGCGCCCGTGTGATGCTCCCGCTCGGCCGGCCAACGCCCGGCACTGGGCGCCCGCGCGCAGCCTCTCGGGGCCGGGCGGCGCGCCGAGCAGCCAGGCAAACTCGGCCACGGGGGGGCTGCGTTCCACCGCCACCGCCACAAGCAGGAGGGGGAGGGGGTCCTCTTCTTCCTCCTCCTCCTCCTCCTCCTCCTCCTCCTCCTCTTCTTCCTTCTCCTCAACCTCCTCCTCCTCCTCCTCCTCCTCCTCCTCCTCCTCAGCCTCCTCTCCCTCCTCCTCCCCATGCTCCACCTCCTTCCCCCCTCCACCTTCTGGTGGTGGAAAGCAAGCCCATCAGGCCAGACGCCAGCTCGCCTGCCGGATGTGGCGAGTGGGCGCTGCGCGAGCTGCGCGAGGGGGTGAGGGCCGCACGGTGAGCGGCACACTGCTCACTGCACCGACCTTGCAGACGTGTGCAGCGGAATTGCGCGTGGATCTCTGCCAATGCAAAACCTCCAAACGGCGAGCGCGAAAAACGAAGCGAGCTTCACGTGGATTGTTTGAAGTCTTCGTCCCTGCCCCCCCCCAACAAAAAAAACGTACGCAATTCACCACGAAATCCGGAACGAAATTCTCCAGAACAAGGTGGGTCCATCCCATTGCTTTTCCGAACGCTCTGCGATGTTGGCGCCACGACGCTGCGACTCCAACCTCATGCTGCGCTGCTATGCCTCGCACCTGGGGCGGACCAGGCGAGGCGGGCGCCCGAAGCAGTGGCCGCTGCGGACCGTTGGAGCCTGAACGGCGTGAGACAGGAGGAGGAGGAGGAGGAGGAGGAGCAGGAGGAGGAGGTGGAGGAGGAGGAGGAGGAGGTGGAGGAGGAGGAGGAGGATCAGGAGGAGGAGGGGAAGGTGGGGAAACCAACAAGTACCGATGCCGCTGCTCCCGGGACCTCTCCCGGGGTGCGTTCTGACCAAGATTTGGAGGCGAATCCAGCGGTGGCGACGAGGGCCTCCGAGGAGGCCCAAGAAGGGGAAAGCGAGAAAAGGGTAGCGGAATGGGTACCTGTTCCTCCTCCGAGGAGGAGGAAGAAGGGGGAAACGAGGAGCGATCCGCCTGCCGCCTCCCCGCGAGCTGCCAGGGTGCCTATCGCCGCGTGCCCCACTCGGCGGCCCAGCCGTCGCGGTGTGCTTCCGACGCCGAGACGCTTGAAGCACTTGGCGCCGGAAGCACACCACGACGCCCAGGCGAGGTCTGCGCGCGCGCTGGTCCGAGGCCCCCACGCACGCGCCGCCTAGGCCGCTCCGGCGGTCCGTCGGGGAGCGTGGTGGTGATCGTGGCCGAACCCCCTGCGCCGGCACCGCCGGGCGCCTGCAGGCATGCCAGCACGACGGCCTGCGGGGGGAAGCCCAGCACGACTCTTCTGCTCCCGAGCGTCCCGCCTCTCTGCAGGAAGAGCGGGGCGGCGCTGGTGGCGGAGCCCCGTGCGCTGGCACCGTCGGGGAGCTGCAGGCATGCCGACCAGACGGTCCGGGGCAGCCCACCTCCTGGTGCCCCCACTGAGCCGCAGGACCGTCAGAAAGCGACTCGGGAAGAGAAGCCAGTCCCAGGGAAGGAGTCGAGATCGCCAGGGTCCACGTCGAGTACAGTAGGGGCCCGACCACAAGAAACCTGCCACAAGAAACCCAACCCTGGAACCCCAGGACGTCCATTGACTTTTGGTGTGGGAGCCTCGCGCTTTCCATGGCAAAACCATCGAAACCCAAGAAACCCAGGGCACCCTGGAAGCAAGCAGGGTGTTTCTTGGCAGGGAGTTCCACTGTAAAGTTACGCTGCTTCGAGCGATCCCCACCAGAGCCTTCGCGGTTGTTCACGAGGGTGCGCACGCCGACTGGAACGATGGGCAAATGGGGCCCGAAGATCTCGGCCAGCGCGGCGGTCGGGCCAGGTCGCCGCTGTTCCTTCAACAATTCGGAAATATAAAACCTAAAGCCCCAGGTTCTGAAATCTAAAAACCCAAGGTTGTCGCGGGAGGAGAGCCCCAGACGAAAGAAGCCGAAGGAGCTCCGCGGGGAACAGCCAGGCCCCAAAACATGTTGTGCGAGACCCTGACAATTTGGTTGAGAAAGAGAGCCCGCAAACTGTTGGAAGATGATGAGGAGGCCGTTGACGATGACGAAGATGATTATGGCTACTTCAGCTGCTTGGGTGTATTTTCTTATGATATGATCGCGCATGCTATGATATACCATTGTTTTTATGTTTGATCGCGCTAGGTTATATCATATCTCAATATGGTAAGCGTCTGTTCTGTCACAAAATTCCACAAACAGTGTTTGCACTGGGGGGTTCTTGCTTGTGTTCTAAGGAACTGGGCCATGTAGCAGGTCTGGCAACTATGTTGTCGCGATCGCCGCCACGTCGCCACCTCGTCGCCGTCCGTCGATTGGGCCGCGTAGCTGGTCTGGCGGCTACGTTGTCGCCGTCGCCGCCCCGTCGCCGCCTCGTCGCCGCCCGTCGTATGGGCCGTGTAGCCGGTCTGGCGGCTATGTCGTCGCCGCCGCCGCCCCGTCGCCGCCTCGTCGCCGCCCGTCGGCTGGACCGTGTGGCTGGACTGGCGGCTACACATAACATCGCCGTCGACGCCCCGTCGCAGCCCCGACGCGTCTGTGGCCGCCGTTGGATTGCACCACACAGATTGCAGCATACATTGTACACCATCGATTCTCCTTTCTCGAAGAGTATTAGGATCTATCACCCCCTCCCCAGCTTTAACCGCGCCCCATTTGCGTCTTGCAATGTACACACGATTTTGCCCCATCGCCCACCCGAAATATGAGATCATACCCTGCCAGCCAGCCTGGTAACGATTCCCCCTCATCCTCTGCAGCAATCACGATGGGCGCACGTTCATTCGTTTTTCAAAAAACAGTACTGTTTTAAGCCCCTTGCGCAATAACTCGACGAATTGCACACGCGCGCGTCGTCGCGCGCGCATGCCGAAATCCTTCAAAAACCACAGGCTTCGCAAGGAATTCAAAATCGAGTGTCCCGACAACATATAAAACACACATGGCTTCGCAACAAACTGTTCAACAACAGCTGGCGCTCGCGCTCTTGCAAATTCTCAAGAAAAGCATTGGCTTTCTCATATTCTTATAGAATGCTACCAAATGGGCCTTTTGCTTGCGCATGTCGAAATCGTTCGGGCGCACTTGCTCGCGTGCTCTCGCAAGGATCCATTCCAAACGTGCGACGAAGTGCACACGCGCGCGTCGTCGCGAGCGCATGCCGACATCCATCAAAAACCCTAGGTGTCGTACGGATTTCAATATGGAGTGTCCGGGGAACATAAAGCAAACACATACATTCGCAACAAGAACATCACGCTCTTGCATATTCTCAAGAAAACTATGCATTTGTAATCAATATGTTCAGACCATGCTACCAAATTGGCCTCTCGCGCGCGCATGCCAAAAATCGTTCGAAAGCCCTTACGCGCGTGATGTCGCAATAATTTCTCGCCACTAACGGGATGAATTGCACACGCGCCCGTCGTCGCGCGCACCCGAAATCTTCCAAAAACCTTAGGTCCCGTAAAAATTTCAAAAGCGAGCTCCCCGATACCAAATTAAAACACATGGTTTTGCAACATCATTATCCAACAACTGCCTGGCGTTCTTGCGAGTCCTGGGGCACGGTCCGTGTCAAATAGTACCATGCGGGCCACTCTCGCGCGTCGGCCGCGCGCGCATGTCGAACTCCTTCCAAAACCTCTCGGGGCCGTCTCTGGGCTGTGTTGGGGCCCTCTTGGGCCGTCTTGGGGCCCTCTTGCCTCTTGCCGTTTCACTCGAACAAATACGAGGAAACAGGCCGTGGGAGCCGCCCGGGAGCCGCTTCACTCAAAAATTATCACGGCGAAGGACCTAACCAGATGCAGTTGCGAGTGCCGCAATTGTGAGTATCTTCGAGTTTTTTTTTTTCTTTTTTTTTTTTTGTTTATTTTTTTTATTTGTAAGTTTCCGCTCAGTTTTTTTTTTTTTTTTTTTTTTTCTTTTTTTTTTTTTTTTTTTTTTTTTTTTTTTTTTTTTTGTTTTTTTTTTTTTTTTTTTTTTTTCTTTTTTTTTGTTTTTCTTTTTTTTTTTTTTTTTTTTTTTTTTTTTTTTTTTTTTTTTTTTTTTTTTTTTTTTTTTTTTTTTTTTTTTTTCTTTTTTTCTTTTTTTTTTCTTTTTTTTTTTTTTTTTTCTTTTTTTTTTTTTTTTTTTTTTTTTTTTTTTTTTTTTTTTTTTTTTTTTTTTTTTTTTTTTTTTTATTTTTTTTAAAAAATTTTTTTTTTTTTTTTTTTTTCGCGCCCCCTATGGGGCCACGAACCGTATGAGGGGTGCGCCGGAACGTGGCGGGGTACACAACGCAAAGGAATACAATAGGTCTGATTACCAGAGAATGAACGCGGGTGAGTCAGAGCGCGAGTGAGTCTGAGTGTGAATGGGCCTGCGTGCGAGTGAGTATATTTGCATGAATGCGATCATGGCTACGCCTAGTGTAAATGAATACGAATGTGAATGGCTCGAGCATGCCTGTCCGAACACTCGTGACACTGGGCGTGGCCGCCGCAGGCAGCCTCCGCAGGAACCCCGACGGCAGCGCCCGCACGCCGCGACACCCATGTCGGCACGCCCCTTGCGAGGATAGCGCCCGCTTTCGTCCCTTTTTTCCCTTTCTCTTTGCCCGCGCACTCCAAAAATCCAAGGCTGCGGGCGCAGCGCAGCGCGGAGTCCCCGCGACGCGCGCTGGTCGCCCCAGGCGGGGCCCCAGCGACGCGCGCGGGTCGTCCGCTGCGCGGAGCAAAGAGAGCCGGCTAGCTAACTGGCTGGCTGATAGCGGGCAAGGCTCTGACCGCTGGACAGAGCGACGACGGGCGAACGAGGCGCCAGGCAAAACGCAGCGCGGAGTTCCCGCGACGCGCGCTGGTCGCCCTGAGAGGGTCCCAGCGACGCGCGCGGGTCGTCCGCGGCGCGAGGCCCAACAATTAGTCGGGAAGTCGAGAGAAGGCGCGGCTCGGGTGGGACGCCCCATAGGTCAGGCCTCGCGGATAAACTCGGTGAAGCCGAGCTCCCTGGCGAGGGCCGTCGCCTCCCTCCTGCACCGCTTCGCGCGCGCCGCAAACTGCTCCAGCTGCTTCCGCAAGCCATCCGGCGGCCCTGCCAGGAAGAACTCGATGCGCGGCGCCCGCATGAGCAGGAGGTCCTCGTGGCGCGTGGCGCGCGAGAGCAGCACATAGAGCTCCAGCCACCAGTCGTCGTCCTCCTTCTTGCCGTTCCCGACCTCGTGGCGGCCGCAGTCCAGGATCACGCCTGGGCGACGTCGGCCGAGGGAGCGGTGCGCCGGGCAGCCGACGGCCCAGGGCGAGAGTCCACAGGACCAACGGATGGCTGCGGACTGCTCGCGCCCCGGAGGTCTGGCCGTCCCTGGAGCTCCGTTCCCCCGCCCCGTCGCCTTCTCGCATGGTGCGCCCCTGGCGCGCCACCGTGGTGATGACCCTGCCGTGCGAGAACGGGAAGCCCGCCCGCGTGACCCTGGAGGTGCGGAAGGTGAACGGCTCCGACGTGCGGGGCTCGATGAACACCAGCGGGCCCGCGAGGTCCCCCGTGAGGCTGTCGTCGTGGCGCTTCAGGTCGTCCACGAAGGGCGCGCTCGCGTACTTCTCCATGCGCACCCAGAACCCCAGCGGCAAGCGCTTCAAGTAGATCCGCTTGAAGTAGCACTTGTGGCCCCGACTTAGTTTTCACCTCCTGTTCCTCCTCTTCCTCCTCCTCCTCCTCCTCCTCCTGTGCCTGTGCCTCCTCCTCGTGCCTCGCGGCACAGTGGCGGATGATGACGGGTTTTAGTAGTAGTAGTAGTAGTAGTAGTAGTAGTAGTAGTAGTAGTAGTAGTAGTAGTAGTAGTAGTAGTAGTAGTATTAGTAGTAGGAGTAGCAGTAGTAGTAGTAGTAGTAGTCGTAGTAGTAGTAGTAGTAGTAGTAGTAGTAGTAGTAGTAGTAGTAGTAGTAGTAGTAGTAGTAGTAGTAGTAGCAGTAGTAGTAGTAGTAGTTGTAGTAGCAGTAGCAGAGTGAGTAGTAAGTAGTATAGTCGTCGTCGGTCGTCGTTCGTCGTCGTCGTCGTCGTCGTCGTCGTCGTCGTCGTCGGCGTCGTCGTCGTCGTCGTCGGCGTCGTCGTAGTAGTAGTAGTAGTAGTAGTAGTAGTAGTAGTAGTAGTAGTAGTAGTAGTAGTAGTAGTAGTAGTAGTAGTAGTAGTAGTAGTAGTAGTAGTAGTGCGGTAGGCGCATGGGAGCGCAGCCACGGGGGCCTTCGGTGGAGCTCCCTATGGGGCCACGAAACGTGTGAGGGGTGTGCCGAAATCTGTGCGGAGGGCGCATGGGAGCGCAGCCACTGGGGCTCGCTGGAGCTACTATGGCGGCCACGGAGCGTATGAGGGGGTGCCGAAATGGGTGGGGGGCGCATGGGAGGCAGCCACTGGGGCTTCCGTGGAGGCTCCCTATGGGGCACGAAAACGTGTGAGGGGTGTGCCGAAATGGGTGCGGTGGGCGCATGGGAGCGCAGGGCCACGGGGGCCTTCGCTGGAGTATCGCCCCACCTTAGACCCCCCCTCCTGCCTATAACTGCACTCGGAATTAGAAAACTCGGGACCACGAAAATGTGTGAGGAGGTGTGCCGAAAGTCTGCGCGGTGGGCGCATGGGAGCGCAGCCACTGGGGCCTTCGCTGGAGCTCCCTATGGGGCCACGAAACGTGTGAGGGGTGTGCCGAAATGGGTGCGGTGGGCGCATGGGAGCGCAGCCACTAGGGCCTTCGGTGGAGCTCCCTATGGGGCCACGAAACGTGTGAGGGGTGTGCCGAAATCTGTGCGGTGGGCGCATGGGAGCGCAGCCGCTGGGGCCTTCGCTGGAGCTCGCTATGGGGCCACGAAACGTATGAGGGGTGTGCTGAAATGGGTGCGGTGGGCGCATGGGAGCGCAGCCACTGGGGCCTTCGCTGGAGCTCCCTATGGGGCCACGAAGCGTGTGAGGGGTGTGCCGAAATGGGTGCGGTGGGCACATGGGAGCGCAGCCACTGGGGCCTTCGGTGGAGCTCCCTATGGGGCCACGAAACGTGTGAGGGGTGTGCCGAAATTGGTGCGGTGGGCGCATGGGAGCGCAGCCACTGGGGCTTTCGCTGGAGCTCCCCATGGGACCACGAAACGTGTGATGGGTGTGCCGAAATGGGTGCGGTGGGCGCATGGGAGCGCAGCCACTGGGGCCTTCGCTGGAGCTCCCTATGGGGCCACGAAACGTGTGAGGGGTGTGCAGAAATGGGTGCGGTGGGCGCATGGGAGCGCAGCCACTGGGGCCTTCGCTGGAGCTCCCTATGGGGCCACGAAACGTATGAGGGGTGTGCCGAAATGGGCGCGGTGGGCGCATGGGAGCGCAGCCACTGGGGCCTTCGCTGGAGATCCCTATGGGGCCACGAAACGTGTGAGGGGTGTGCCGAAATGGGTGGTGGGGAGGCATGCGAACGCAGCCACTTGGGCCTTCGGTGGAGCTCCCTATGGGGCCACGAAACGTGTGATGGGTGTGCCGAAATGGGCGGTGGGGAGGCATGCGAACGCAGCCACTGGGGCCTTCGGTGGAGCTCCCTATGGGGCCACGAAACGTGTGAGGGGTGTGCCGAATTGGGTGATGACGATGACGATGATGATGATGGTGGTGATGATGACGTCGATGATGTCGATGATGATCATGGTGATGACGATGACGATGATGATGATGATGATGATGATGATGATGATGATGATGATGATGATGATGATGGTGATACCGAAACGGTTGCACACGTTTCGTGGCCCCATGATGATGATGACGATGATGATGGTGATAATGACGACGATGATGATGATGATGATGATGATGATGATGATGGTGATGATGATGATGATGATGATGATGATGGCAGGAGGGAGGGGGCAGCGGGAGGAGGAGTGAACGCGGGGCGCTGTCTCTTCAAAACGAGGACCCAACACCACAGGATGGTTGGGAAATACAAGGAAGCGGCCCCCGGACGGCCATTACAATCATCCCCCCTGTCCTCACCCCTCCCGTGGACCCCTCCCTGAGGGGCTTCGCCCCACACAAGAACGTCATCACTCGTACCTCGCTCTTTCGGTTACCTGCTTGGCACGGGGACGAAACGCGTGTTTATATTGTGAGGGCGCGAGGTCGCTGGCCTCGTGTCTTGGAGCCCTGTTGGTGTTAAGGCTTCGGTACGACATTCAAAAATCTAGCAACCAACCTTGCGAAAGTCAATACATATTGCACTTCTGGTCCTTCCAGGGACTTTTTGGTGCTTTTTTGGGCCGTCTTGAAGCCCTCTTGGGCCGTCCCGGGACCCTCTTGGGCCGTCTTAGCAAACTTAAGCCGTCTTGGGGCACTCTGGGGGACCTCCTGGATCCCCCTGGAGACCTGCCATTAGATCTGGGGCCCCTTTTGCCTACCCCCTACGCCCACCCTTATTACTTCTTCCGACTAACGGATCGCGACGCAAGTGCGCTTTCCGTCATCCGCCGCCCCCTGTTGATTTCATAAACGGGTGCCTGGCGTGCTGAACGTCTGGTAATAGTTTTGGTCTATACCCAAAGGAACTTACCCTGGGACTTCGGCACAGCGCGCCGGCCACCTGGAAGGCCGTACAATCCGCCGAACATGTTGCTCTATCGCTTCCAAGACGGCCAAGATGGCCCAAGATGGCCTCCAAGTTCGTCCACGATTGTCCAAGATGGCCTCCAAGACGGCCCACGCGGGTCCAAGATGCCTCCAAGTTCGCCCAAGAAGCCACCACGACGGCCCAAGATGGCTCCAAGACGGCCCCAGAGGCCTCTAATAGGCCTCCAAGACGACCCAAGAGGCCTCCAAAAGGGCACCCAGGAAAGCCCGAAGAGGCCAAAATCATTTATGTTCTTTAGGTTTTGAGAGATTGTGGCATTTGCTTCTTTTCGGCCTTCCGAAGGCCCAAGACGGCTAGAGGCCTCCGACATCGCCCCCAGAGCACCCAAGAGGCCTCCAAGATACCCCAGGACGGCCCAAGAGGCCCCCAAGACGGCCCAGAGGGGGACCCAAAACGGCCCAAGAGGCCTCCATATCGCCCAGGATGTCCTCCAAGACGGCCCTGAAGCGCCCCAAGAGGGCCCCAAGACGGTCCAGAGGCCCCCAAGACGGCTCCCGACGGCGTCAGACGGCCCAGGAACGCCCTAAGAAGGCCAAGGAGGCACCGAACAAGCCCCCCCAAGGCCCCCAAGAGGCCGAAGGAGACATCCAATTGGCGCCCAAGTGTTGGCAACTCTTGAAAAGTCAGCTGTGACTTTCCATGGCTTCCGCCAAACTCTGCCGGCTTCCGTTGGTGAGCGTTTTGTTACTCGGCGCTTCGGCATTGGGTGGAAAGGGGGGCGGGGGGGGGGCTGGCTCCAGACCCCTGCTTAGTGCGGGGGACTCTACCCGCTGCCTCTGGGGGGGGGCTTTGCAAGAGTGCTGCCTCTGGGGAGACTCTACCCGCTCAAAGCAGGCGCTGATAGCCAAGATCTACTGCATGGGGGGGGGGAGGCGGGCTTTGGGGCCCGCGCCGATCGGCAAAACAATGAACAACAAAACGATCCCTTGGGAAAACCGCCTTCCTGTTGTTTCCGCTGGCTCCTGCGGAACTTCCGCCGGCCTCAGCCGAGGGCGAGACTACGAGACGCCCACTTCTGTAGTCATGGGGGAGCCTTGTTTCTTGAAGCGAGCAAGATGGTCTCGGTTTGACTCGAAAGAAGATCAGCCAGCGTTGACTCCAAATAGATTACACGATCCAAATCAAGGAGTCATAGGAATCGAGCATGCTTGGAATCCGCAACTCAGCAAGCAAGCAAGCGTGCAAGCAAGCAAGCAAGCAAGGGCGCAAGCAAGCAAACAAGCAAGCAAGCATACATACGGGGGGGGCCATTGGAAAAAGTGGAGGGTCCTAAAGATCAATGAATTATGATGAGCTAGAACTCCTATAGGGCAAGCCGATTTGGAGAACATCGTGACGGCAACTTGTTCCACACTTGTTCCACACTCTGTGCATGTGGAAACTCGCTTCGGGTTCTGGGACTGTGAGAAAGCAGCACGGGACGGCAGCCATGTCCCGAGAATTGAGCCAAGAGTCAAGAGGGCCCAGAGGCCACAACACCAGTAAAGCACAACGCCGGATACATGTGAAACTGGATTACCAACGGACTCGATGACCCAGGCTTCATCCTGGTGCCTGATGGCGCCAAGTCTAAGGACACTCCTGCGCACTCAGCGTGCCAACTCCCCTGCAGAAGTACTGAAACTCTCGCGCGTGGTACGCCTCTCCGCGCCCCTCAATTCCAGTATGCTGACGCACTGGATTTGCGCAGCTAGTTTCTCTTCGTCGGCAGCGGATGCACCTGATCATTGGAATCGGGGGGGCAAAGGGGGAAGCTTTATTTCTTTTGCAGGTGATCGTGAAGTCACGCATGGGAAGGTCGCACCGTTCGCACAGGGCCAACGAGCGCAATATTAGTACCCCACTGATCCTCAACACTCCTGATATGTTGCATGTCCAATGATCCTCGGTCTGCTGAACCATGCCGGCCTGGGCTGGGAGCCGCCATCGCAAGCGAGGGGACATCTACAGCTAGCGCGAATAGCATCTTGCGGCATCCAAAAACTCGAGCACACGGTCAAGAGTGAGCAAGCGCCAAAATGCGGGCTGCGTAGGTGGAAGGAAAGCAGGAAGAGAGGGGGGGGAAGAGGAAACAGACCACTGTCAGCCTGTCGGATGGCCGAACTGACAGGGAGGGCAGGAAGAAGTCCGAGGAGGTCAGAAGAGTTTATATTGAATATGTGGGGGGCAACCTGTTTCTGTCCCATCGCGTCGCTATTCGCGTCTAATCCGCGAATGAACGTCGAATCCTCGTCGAATACACGTCGAAACCACGTCGACTCCGCGTCGCATCTAAACTATATCCGCGGCGGGTACAAGAAAATATCTCAAACCATTCCAGAAAACCATGTCCCCCAAAGATGCCATGAAAAGAAAGAAGATGCAAGCAATCCGATTGACAATCACGCGGATGGTGTGGAGGCGCGTCAACACCCAAATTCTGGCATGCTCCGCCAATGCGCTCTGCCAGCACCTCTTTCCAAACGGTACGTGCATGAGCTCGACTGCCGGGCAGATTTTTGGACGAGGCTGCTGGAATCATGCGATTCGCTCGAGATAAATTCCAGACGCTAAAAGTTTTCCAGCGATCGTCAGCCGCCATTCGCACTCAAACATTTGCCTCTAGCCGCGCGGAACGACAAGAAAACCTGGAAGTGATGGAACGGATCACTATCAGTGCTTCTGGCTCCTCTGGAATGACATGGTGGCCCCCGCGAGCGCGACAAGTAAGACATGCGCGCGTTGTTTCCCCCCCCCCAAACAGTGCTTGCGCTCAGGGTTTCTTACTTGTGTTCCGAGGAACTGGACCTGGGTGTTGGTCCAGCAGCTCTGTTGTCGCCGCCGCCGCCCCGACGCCGCCTCGCCGCCGCCCGTCGTCTGGTCCCAACCGTCGGTCTGGCGGCGATGTTGTCGCCGTCGCCGCCCCGTCGCCTCCGCGTCGCCGCCTGTCGTCTAGGCAGGGACAGTCGGTCCGGCGGCAGTGCTGTCGCCGTCGCCGCCTCGCCACCGCCCGTCAGACATTGCACCACGAAGATCCTCCTCCCTGGAAACAAGATATGAGGATCTACCCCCCCCCCCAAGTCAACGTTGCACCTTTTTCGCACCGCAATTTGCATACGACTCTGCCCCGTCGCCCGTCCAACACACGAGTTCGCACCATCCCAGCCAGGCCGGAGAGCTCGGCAGGCCGCGGGCGGCGAGGCACTCGCCGACGTCCGTGCCGGCAGGGCGCCCCCGACGCGGGCGCTGCGGGCGGGAGCGAGGCGGCCGGCTCCGTGGGCCCGAGGCTCCTGCTGTGCGGTGGCAACTCGTGGGCGCCTCCCGTACCGGCTTGTCGGCGTTTGCGAGTCGACGCTGCTCGACGCTCCTCGACGCTAGATCGGCGCTACTCGACGCAAGCCGACGCTCAATCGGCGCTGCCTCGTCGACTCCCAGGCGCCAACCGACGCTCATCGACGCCAAAGACAGAGAACTGAGAGGGTGCACTTTTTCTTCCGCGGGTCGAGAGCGCACCTCTTGGGGTCGAAGCTAAGCGGGCCGCGCACAGCTTTAACTAGCAAAGGGGGGGGCAGAAGGAGGGGCCTCACGTCAGGGCCAGGAGGTTGAGAGGGCACGCAAGGCTCCCATGGTTCTTGCTGCCGAACTGCTGCACCTCGCAGGTGGGCTGGCGCGTGGCCACCGCGGGTCCGCCCTGGAGCCGCGCGCCTCGGCTCCCGTGGACTTCTGCCGCTCCCTGGCACGGCCGTCCTGCCGCGCGCTGAACGCGTGCCTCCGCCGCGTGCCGAACGCGTGCCTCCGACGCCCGTCCCGCGGCGCTCTCCCTCGCGGCGCTTCGCCCCCCCCCCCTCCCTCCAGCCTCGCCTCCCCTGCGCAGAAGGCACCTGTGGTGGGCTTGTTGTCCACCGCCACCACCATGAGTGGGAGTGGGAGTGGGAGGGGGTCCTCCTCCTCCTCCTCCTCCTCCTCTTCCTCCTCCTCCTCCTCATCCTCCACCTCCTTCCTCCTTCCCCCCTCCAACTTATGGTGGTGGTGGTGGTGGTGGAAAAGAGGCCCATCAATCTATACACCACCACTGTGCCAAGCCAGGGCCATCTTGGCCCTGGCGTGGTGTACACGCCCTCCTGGCCGAGGCCACGAGGGCCTGTACACCATCCGAGGGCCCAGGCTGGCCCTGGCCTGGCACGGTGGTGGTGTGTGGACGCCTTCGCCGGATCCTCCCCGCGTGCCTCCGTTCGCCACGGATGCGCCCCGCCGCCGCTCGTCCGCGCAGTGGACCAAAGCCAGGTCGCCGCGGACGACAAGGTCATCACCGCGGGCGAGCGTTCGTCGAGCAGGCCCCGGGCCCTCCTCGGGGGCGCCCAGCTCCCTCCTCGCCCTTTGGGCGGCCTGGCAGCGGGCTGCATCTGCGCAGGCCAGAGCTGCCCCAGAGCTGAGCGCCAGAACCTGCTGCAAACGTCAAGCGTACAGGACGAGGCCGCCAGTGCGACGCCCACGCGTCGCCAATGCGCGCCATCGTGGCACGCGTTCTAGCACGCGCCACCGGCGCTGAAAAATGTGCGTTGGGCGGACGTCTAACCACCTCCTCCTCCTCCTCTTCTTCCTCCTCCTCCTCCACGTTCTCCTCCTCCTCCTCCTCATCATCCTCCTCCTCTTCCTCCTCCTCCTCCTCCTCCTCCCTCCTCATCATCGCCCCTCCCCCCCTGAATCAACGCTGAAACCAGGGCCCCCACCGTGGGAAAAGAAGCAGGATTGCGAGCAGGACAACAAGGAGAGGACCCCTGGAGGAGACGACCTGTGTAATCTCTGGCCACAGCGACAAAAGAGACAGAGCGAGAGAGAGAGACGCAAAAAAGGAGAGAGAGAAAGAGAGAGAGAGATAGCGAGAGAGAGAGAGAGAGACGACGACGACGACGACGACGACGACGAGACGACGACGACGACGACGACGACGACGATGACGACAAAGACAAAGACAAAGACGACGACAAGGACGACAAAGACGACGACAAAGACGACCACGCATGCGACGGATAGGAGAGACTGACAATAAGGTCAACCTGCCCCTGAAATGTAACTTCCATCGCGATTGTTCGAATGTCCCGAGCTAGGATGAAGCACGGAAAAATATTCCGACTGCCGAACAAGGATTGCGGGTACTCTAACGGGTGGTTTTCACTGTAGGTCGGTAGGTGAAGCACGCTCTTTTGACTTCGGCAAACAGTCTGTCCCTTTGAGACTTCCGACTGGGAACCACGGGCTACCTAACCGCCCCTGCGTCTACTGTTGAGAGGCAGGCAAGGCTGCGAACTGTCTCCCCGAACAAGGTAGAATCTCAGATTCTCGAGAGGGGTTGGCCTAGAAGAGCCCGGGCGGAAACTCAGCGCCGTCGACGAAGGAGCTGGCGTCGGGCTCCCGCGGCGGCGGCGATGCCGCCTCCTGGCAGCGGCGAAATGGGAAGGCGCAGATGCGTGTTCGACCATCGGTCCGGTCTGAGCGCAGCTCCCTCGTTTGTCCTCCTCCGCGGCCGCCCTCCTCCTCTTCACACGTGCCGGTGCGCAATTAGCTCTGCTGCGCCCCGGCTGTTGCAATCCGACGCTGCGTGCCCCAATCCGCTACTGACCAAAAAAGGGCCCACCGATGGCCTCCTTCGGCTCAGGGTGCCATGTACCTGCTTCGCACTCAGGGCCCCCTGAGGCGACCGTTTACGTGTTCAACTATGGGCCCCGTCGTGGCCCATCAGCCTTCGGCTGTCTCTGGCAGTCTTCTGCGCGAGAGCTGGGACGGCTGCGGCTCGCAGTGGAACCCATGATCGAACACCAGGGAGCAGAAGGAGGAAGCAAGAGTTGGAGGAACAGCAACAGCAGAGGCAACACGCACCACGGCGCCGCCAGCAACGACGACGACGACGACGACGGAGACAACGGAGACGACGCGCGCTTACGATCCGCACCGCAGCACAGACTCGGGAAAGGGCCCACTCCGCGAGGTTTGGTATACAGCATGCCGCATCCCGTTGAGCGGTGCCGCGACACCCCCGTAGCACACACCCCACCGCCCAAGGAGCAGCAGCACCAGCAGACGAGGGAGGAGGAGGACCATGGCCCAGCGAACCTGAGAGCACGATATCAAAAACGACGACAACAACAACAACAACAACAACAACAACAATCATTTAAGACTGGGGACACTCCGTTCTCACCAGTGCCAGGGTTTTCATAGGAGGCGGGCAATACCCCCACTTTGTGGGGGGGCCGGTTCAAGCTCTACCAAATTTCCAAACGACTCTTCGCCACCACCCACACCCAGCTTCCCGCCCTATGACGTTCGGACACTTCACTTCGTGGCATGCGGACGACCGTGGCTACTATTCAGGGCCCCGCGGCCGACGACGACGGCGTGCGCGCGCGAAGAAAAAACGAATGTGTCCCGCATGGTATTATTTGACAGGGATGATGGCCCTGGCAGGTGCGCAACCGTTGTTGCAGAAGTTCGAAAAAGTTGCTCGCAAAAGCCCGTTTGACAGAAATGTTTAAAAAGTGTTGGGTTTCCTACGAATCCGCAAGAGCGCGCGGGATGAGATTTTGACATTTTTTTGTTGAAAAACCATTGGTTTTTTGATGTTTTTATGTTAAAATCGCTCCGAACACTAAGCTTTTGGAAGGATTTCGTCTTGCGCGCGCGAATGTCCACTTTACCTTATTTTTTTGCAAGGGATTCTTGAAATTTGATTATATTAGAACAAGAAATGTCATTTTATAGTGTTTTTTGCAAGGGAAAACGGATTACAACAAAACAACCGGATCTGGACACATCGTTTTACCTGAGGCTTCCTCACGAAAATGATGAAAATGTGGCTGCGGCCTAGGCGCGGCGAGGGGGGCGTGCACCAGGGGGCCCAACAATAATTATTCTTTAGAAGTAATCATATTCAACAACAGCAGCAGCAGCAGCAGCAGCAACACCAA